AGAGAGAGAGAGAGAGAGAAAGATTTATATATAAATAAATAAATCACTCACTCATTCACACACTCCCAGGGGCTGGCTCTCAGCCCAATAGTAAACAAGATGTACGTGCAGACCACTCAACCCAGGGTGATGCACCCACATACTCTATGGAGATGCATCCCTTGGAGCAATCGACCATGGGGCACCAGAGGGGCAACATTCACACAGAGGAAATGCAGGACACACAGGAGTGCATAACTAGGAGAGGCATGAGGGGGGAGGGGCTTACTGGTTGGGGAAGGGAGGAGACTGGGTTAGGGTTGGGGATGATAATTGGGGAGTGAAACTAAATGTACATGAAATGTTGAATGTAAAACAAACTCTGCTCTGTAAACTTGCACCTAAAGCACAATAAAATAAAATTTTAAAATTTTAAAAAATAAAATGCCAGTAAATAAGAAGTAGCCATTACTTAACTGTTTGTATTAATGCAAGAAAGCAGGTCAGTGTTACCAGATGTTCCAATCTTTTCAAGAAGAACTGGAAGTCTTTATCTGTATGTAAAATGTGAAAAGTCCATTGATTTTTAATGTCAGGCCTGTACCATGCTAGTGTTCTACATTAGGCAACAGGCCTTAACAACTTACTTGTAACTGATTTACACAGTCTTTAATTTATCAACATATTGTGCTTTCAAACTGCCTCTGCAAGTTTGGAAATTCCGAATACATTTTCTCCATGAGAGTAAAATAGTAAGTTTGGTTTCCATATACATATATATGATAAGCTATCTCATCAAAAATCCATTGCCATGGAGTCACTTCCAACTCATAGCAACCCTACAGGACAGAGTAGAACTGCTTCTTAGGGTGTCCTAGCCTGTAAATCTTTACACCATATCTTTCTTCTATGGAGGGTGTGGTGGATTCAAATCACCAACCTTTAGGTTAGCAGATGAGCACTTAACCACCAGGGCTCCTAAGTAAACTATAGTACTGAATTAGCAGCACTATATAACCTAGCCTCTATGATTTATATCATATATATTTAAAACTTATTCCAAGTTTCAACTTTGTACTTTGGAAAGCCTGAAAGGATAGACCAAAGTGTAGTGAAAGGAAAGGAGATGATTGGGAAGATTTAAGGAAATGGAAGAAGCCTTAAGAGGACACTGGTAAGGGATCTCAGGCAATATTTCAGATCTTCTCTGGTGGTGTGGCAGTTAAAGTAGTGTGTCAACTTGGCAGGGCCATAGTTTTGTGTAGCTTGGCAGCTGGATGTAGTTATTCCCAATGATGAGATTGTAATCACCTCCATGGCAGAATGTACTGTAAGACATTAACCAGTGGAAAGGGAGCTGCCTTTGGGGTGTGGCCTGCTTCCAGTATGTATGGAAGAGCTTGGAGAAAAGGCTTGAGCTTTTCGCACATCCGGATCCTGCATTTGGCTGAGTGAACCAGTGGTCTGCCATGTTGCCTGTTAATCTTGGGCTTGTTCTTGGACTTGGGCTTGTCCTTGGACTTGGACTTGAACCAGGGACCTGCTGTAATGCACCTGCCTGAGTTAGGAAACACCTCTAGTTCCAGCGGTCCTGGAACAAGCGGCAGAGCTGAAACCCAAGGTCAAGGGGTCTTCACCTAGGCCCTAAAGCCAGGACTCTGAATTTGGACTTTGTGAATGATGGAGCTGTGTGTCAACTTGGCTGGACCCCAGTTCTGTGTGGTTGTTCCCATGATGGGATCAGATGACTGTGTTCTGAGTGGCCTATCTGCCAAGGAGAGTTTTCCTAGGGGTGTGGCCTGCTTCCAGGATATCCAGGGACATCCTGGGAAGAGAGACATTCTTCTGTGGATCAGGACTCTGGTGTGCTGCCTACAACCTTCCGTGAGTGAACAGCCTGGAGATCTTGGATTTGTCTTTCATTGGAGTCAACAGCCACTATACTGCCTGCCAGCCTTGAGTTTCTCGGCCCTCTGTGGTTGCAGAACCTAAGGCTGCCTCCAGCCCGACATTTCCTCCAGGGACTTTGGACTTGCCAGCTACTATACATTTGTGAGCCATTTTCCTAAGATAAATTTCTTTCTCTCTCTTTATATATATAGACTTTGCTGGTTTTTGTTTCTCTAGAGAACCCAGTCTAACACAGACTTCTAGCATCCTAAACTGCAAGAGAATAAATTCTTATTTTTCAAACAATCCACTTGTGGTATTTCTGTTGTAGCAGCACTAGCAAACCAAGACAGGTAAATAGTGAGATAAGCTTTCACAATTTCTCTGAAGATCTGTGTCATTATAGGAAACCAACTCAGTAGAAGGAAGAAAACAGAAAAAGGATGTATCTCAGCAGCACCAAAAGATGAAAACAACTACAACCCCCGCCAATACCACTAGTAAGAATTCCCACAGCTCTTCCAATGGAACAGTGGTCACTGGAAGAATTCTGTCAACTGCTCATAAATCAGACACCACAGTGAGAATGCCAAATAACTAGCCAAGCAGAAAAATTTATAATGCCAAAGTAAATCTTTATGTCCACTAAAAGATTATAGTAAGATTTATTTTTTAAAGGTACATTTTATTAATAAAATAACAATAAATTGACATTTTTCTAACTAAAATTCACCCATGAATGTTCCCATGAACTCTGAATTTTCTCTCATAATATTCCACTTGAAAGTTATATGTAGCAAAGAATTAAACTTAGGAGATAAGCACCACCTAATACTTCTGTTTACCTTGGTTAACAATTGGTTAATATTTAGATAAAAGAAATGGTAAGTAATTTTATTATTATCTTAAAAATAAAAACAATTTAAAAATAAAATTTTGGAAGGTCTGTTTTTATAGAGGCTTCACAATATAACTTTATAATTCTAAAGAATGTAAGTTTTTGGCAACCTATTCCCAGAGAATAGCTTCTATGTGCTCAGCTCAACACTAAAACTGCTTTATTTTTTTTCAGATAAAACCTAATTAGGAAAATAAATCTGCTACAGGGGGAAAAAAAATCACATGTAGTCTAAATCCCAATAGGAATGACTCTATGGTCCCTTCTTTCCATTAACATGGAGATGCTCTAAACAATTTTCGGTTTTAATAAGTTTGAATCATCAGTATGTCTGCTCCCTTCCATTAGTATAGAAACCAAACGTACAACAAATTTTAGAAAGGGTGCTAATGTTACAAGGTTTTTCACATCATTTACATATGTAAAATACAACCCTATTCTAGTTCAAAAACTTTAGAATTATTCCACCAATAATTACCTTCATATGTGTTGTTGTTGTTGTTATGTGCCATTGAGTTGGACCCGACTCACAGCGATCCCTCCCTGGGTTTCCAAAGCAGTATCACTACAGAAGTAGATTGCTCAACCTTCCTTCCGAGGAGTGCCTGGTGGGATTGAACCACCAGCCTTCTGGTTAGCAGTCAAGTGCCTTAGGCACTATGCTACTAGAGCTCCCTACCTTCATATAGACTATATAAAGAGAAAAGTCCTTGAGTATTTCTTATAATTCTTGACTAGAATAATATGGCTACTATGGTCTAACAGTAAGAGGGAAAAGTATGAAAAGAAATCAAATTTTTCAGGTTTTCAATGTTACTAAAATCAATTTCAAGTATTGTATTAGACTGTAAGGAAAAATGTAAGATGTTTTGTATTCTACAATTTAAAAAAAATAAAGTTACTGATCATAAAACATACCTTGCTGAGCTAAAGTTGATCTTAGCATTCCAGTCTTTGACCAGATTTTTATTTGTCCATCTTCTCCAACTGTAAAGACAAAATAATTTATGTTTTTAGTCTCAGGGGAAATCATACTCAATTGGTACAACATAGTACATAAAAATCTTCCTCTCCATCCTACTTGGATGAGTAGTGACTGAGGTCTTAAAAGCTTTCAAATGGCCATCTTAGATACAACTATCGGTCTCCTCTCACCTGGAGCAAAGAAGAGTGAAGAAAATCAAAGTCATTTGGAAATAATTAGTCCAAAGATATGATGGACCACAAGGACCTCAGCCTTCACAACCTTCAGACCAGAAGAACTATGTGGTACCTGGCTACCAATGCCAACCACTCAGAAAGGGATCAACATTGGAGATCCTGGTTAGAGTGGGAAGAAAAATGTAGAACAGAATTCAAAACCACAAAAATGACCAGAATTTCTGGTCAGAGACTGGTGGAAACCCCTAGACTATGCCCCAGGTTATCCTTCAGGCCTGGAAATAGACTCACTTCCCTGGACTGGCTCTCAACCCAACAGTAGAAAGACCTACATGCGGAACACCTACCCCATGGAGAAGTATCCACTTACCCTAGAGAGATGCACAACTTAGATAAATCAACCATGAGACATCAGAGGGATAGCATTCAGATAGAGAGAAAGCTGGACAGACAGGAATGCATGGATAAGAGGGGCACAGGGAAGGGGTGGTCACAGGCAGCAGAGGAAAAGAAAGTTTTTTATGGATGGGAATTGCAATCAGGGCTGTGAAATCAAATGTTCATGACCTGTTGAATGTAAAACAAATCTGCTTTGTAAATCTGCACCTAAACCACAATAAAAAAATACATAAACATAAATAAAAATTTAAGTTTTGTTCTGGTTACCTAGTACTGCTCTGACAGGAATACACCACATGGGATGGCTTAACAAACAGGAGTTTATTCTCTTACAGTTTGGAGGCTTTAAGTCCGAGTTCAAAGTGCCACCAGGCTCTAGGGGCTGGGTGAAAGCCCCTCAACCTTGGGCTTCAGCTCTGTCTCCTGCTCCCAGCCCACTGGAGCAAAAGGCTTTTCTTCACTCAGACAGCTGCTGGCTGCTGAGACTGACAAGCCCATGGTTGATAAGAAAAAAGGCACAGTCCTGATGTTACCAAACCACACAGCAGGCCATTAATTCAAGTCCATTGAAAGCCCCAAGGTTGGCAGAGCACGGCAGGCTGCTGAACAACTCAGCTACATGCAAGGTTCAAGTGTGCCATATGCTAGAGACATTCATTCATTCATTCATTCATTCATTTATTAAGCCTTGCCATAAGCTAGGCTTCTCCTTATATACAGGAAGCAGATCATATCCCTAAGGCAGCTACTCAGCTACTCACAGTAGATTCTACCATAAAGTTGATTACGAGTCTCATCATGGGGAATACTACATCCAGCTGCCCAGCCAACCAGGCCCAGCCAAGCTGGCACACAAACTTAACTACCACAAGTTTTTACAGAAAATAAATTTAAACATTAAATTTGCATATAAGAATCAATAGTATTTATATTGTTGTTAAATGCTCTTGAGTTGGCTCCAACTCATAGTTTATGGTATTTTCAGTATTTTTCCCAAACAGTATCATGCAATTGCATCAATTCTTCTTCCATCTTCCTTATTTACTGTCCAGCTTTCACATGCATATGAGGTGATTAAAAATACCATGGCTTGTGTCAGGCACACCTTAGTCTTCAAAGAGCTATCTTTGCTCTTCAACAGTGTAAAGAGATCTTTTTCAGCAGATTTGCCCAGTGCAATACATCATCTGTCTCTCAAGTGCTGTTTCCAAGAGTGTTAATTGTGGATCCAAGCAAAATGAAATCTGTGATTCTTCAATCTTTTCTCCATTTATCGTGATGCTGCTTAATGGTCCAGTTGTGAGGCTTTTTGTTTTATGTTAAGGTGTAATCCACACTGCAGACTGTAGTCTTTAATCTTCCTCAGTAAATGTTTCAAGTCATCTTGACTTTGAGCAAGCAAGGTTGTGTCATCTGCATACAGCAGGTTGTTAATGAGTCTTCCTCCAATCCTGATGCCATGTCCTTCTTCATATAGTCCAGCTTCTCGGACTGTTTGCTCAGCATACAGACTGAATAAGTATGGTGAAAGGATACAACCCTGACACACTCCCTTCTTGATTTTAAACCATGCAGTATCCCCTTGTTCTGTTTGAACGATTGCCTCCTGGTGTATGTACAGTTTCCTCATGAACACAATTAAATGTTTTGGAATTCCCATTCTTCTCAATGTTATTCACAACTTGTGATAATCCACATAGTCAAATGCCTTTGCATAGTCAATAAAACACAGGTAACACCTTTCTGGTATTCCTTGCTTTCAGTCAAGATCCATCTGACATCAGTAATAATAGCTATCATTCCATACCCTGTTCTGAATCCAGCTTGAATTTCTGGCAGTTCACTATCAATGTACTATTATAACCATTTTTGAATTATCTTCAGCAAAATTTCACTTGTGTATGATATTAATGATATTGTTCGATAATTTCCACATTCTGTTGGATCACCTTTCTTTGCAATGGTCATGTATACGGATTTCCACCAGTTGGTTAGTCAGGTAGCTATCTTCCAAATTACTTGTCATAAATGAGTGCACCTCTTTTGAACTGCATCCATTTGTTGAAACGTCTCATTGGGTATTCTGTCAATTCCTGGGGCCTTATTTTTCATCAATTCCTTGAGTGCAGCTTGGATTTCTTCCTACAATACCAATCAGTTCTTGATTATATGCTACTTCCTGAAATGGTTAAATGTCAACTAATTCTTTTTTGGTACAATGACCCTATATTCCTTCTATCTCCTTTTAATGTCCATAGAATCCTTCAATATTGCAACTTGAGGCTTGAATTTTTCTTTCAGTTCTTTCACCTTGAGAAATGCCAAGGGTGTTCCTCTCTTTTGGCTTTCTAATTCTACATCTTTGCATATTTCATTATACTTTGTCTTCTCAAGCTGCTCTTTGAAATTTTCTCTTTAGCTGTTTTATTTCATCATTTCTTCCATTCACTTTACTCTCCATTAAAGAAGTTTCAGAGTCTCTTCTGACATCCATTTTAGTCTTTTCTTCTTGTCTCATCTGTTTAATGTATGTCCTGTCTCTTCATGTATGATATTATTGATATCAACCCACAATTTGCACTAGTCTTTGGTCATTCATGTTCAATGCATCAAATCTATTCTTCAGATGGTCTCTAAATATAGGTGGGATATTATCAAGGTCATATTTTGGCTGTTGTGGACTTGTTTTAATTTTCTTCAGCTTCACATGAACTTGCATATAAACAACTGATGGTCTATCTATTCCACAGTCAGCTCCTGGCCTTATTCTGACTGAACAGTACTATATTAACGCATATTTAAGATTCAAAAATAATTTACCCTGATTGAAGAGAAGGGCAATGTATCAAAAGTGAGTGATCAATATGGTGGCACTGAGGAAGAAAAAGACATAGAGAGATACATGGGAGGTACAGACAACAAAGATGAACCCTTTTGCACATATAGTACTGTGTTGTCTATGAAGGCAAACATGGGTATACAGGTGGATAGATGGGTGGACAGGCTGAACTATTAGGTATGTCTATGAAGTGGGGAGTGTACCCAATAACATGTATAGGGTTGGCAGACAATGGTCCCATAAGTTTATGTGTATGATCTAAATTCTCAGGTATAGTAGTAGGTATAGTAGAGTTGACAAGGGATAAGGTTGTAGTCACTGCTTGGTCACAGCCAGCTACCAGAGGGACTGAGTAGTTGAACCTGTGGGCTTGGGACCATAGTCACAGGGGACATCAAGCTCAATTGGCATAACATACTACACAAAACATTGTTCTACCTCCTACTTTGGTGAGTAGTAACAAGAATCTTAAAAGCTAGCAAGCTGCCATCTAGATGCAACGATGGGTCTCTCCTCATCCAGAGCAAAGAAGAATGAAGGAAACAAAAAATTCATGGAAACAATTAGTCCTAGCAACTAGTACACCATCCAATCTGCAGCCTATACAACTGTGAGACCAGAAGAACTAGATGGTGCCCGGCTATTACTGTCAACCACTTGGAAAAGGATCTATGTAGGAGATCCTGGAATAGAGAAGGAGAACAATATGGAACAAAACTCAAAATCATTTGGAGAAAAAAAACAGGGGGGTGACCAGGTTTGCTGGTCGCATAGAGCCTGGTGGAACCACTGAGACTATGGCCCCTAGCTGCCCTTCAGGTCTGGAAATGAACCAGCACCTGTGGCTTCCAGCCAAACAACAGCCTGGCATATGAGTTGAACATTTACCTCAGGTAGATACACTCCTTGGAGAGAACAATCATGGGAGAAAGAAGGGCTGCTTATGCACCTGGAGACAGCTCAGGGGGAAGGAGTGCATGGAGGGATGAACACAGGGAAGAGGTAATTATCAGGAGGAAGTAGGAGGGGAGCTGTTGCATTGTGGTAAATTATGGTCAATGTCAGGAGACAAAGTGTGTGTGAACTGCTGTATGGAAAGTGAATTTGCTCTGTAAATTTTCACCCAAATCACAATAAAAAAAAAAAAGGAAAAAAAATTACCCTAATTAAATGACAGAACGCTTCATTACTGTAGGATTTAATATGAATTACTTTGAAATAATTTTATCAAAATAGCCTAACTTCCATGACTAAAATTGTATTTTTTCCCTTCAACCTTAGAAGACTTAATTACTTTATTCAAATAATGCTTTCATTTTCACTACAATCTCATTTTCAAATTCTAACAAAAGTGCTTTCAGTGTAATAAGAGTTGCAGCCAAATTCCAGTGAGTTGGGGATTGAATGAAGTAGTAGAATACTTTTTTAAACAGATCAGCTAAAAAAGAGAAGGAAAAAAAGAGGAAGCTGTAGCTAGAGAAAGTTGCTGCCTTAAGAGAGAGATGTTTCTTTCTTTTTGCTTAATTTTTAAAACGGGCAACATCTGAACACATTTATATGCTCAAAAACCAACCACTGGAAAAGAAGAAGTTAAAGATATAGGTGAGAAAAGGGAGAGCTCACTGAGAAAAGTTCTAGAGAAGGCCTAGAGGACAGACATGATGGTTTTAAAACATGTCCATAAATTCTTCACTATTCCTCCTTCAAGCGCTGGAACTTATTTCCCTTCTTCATGAGTGTGCATTTTACTTAGTGACTTGCTAGTGAATAGCATGTACTGGAAATGATGGGATATGACTTCTGAGGGGGTGTAATAAAATATACAGTGGTTTCAATCTTGCTCTCTCTTGGATTATTCACTCTAGAAGACCAGGCTGCCATATTATGAGAACACTCAAGCAGCCCTATGCACAGGCTTGTATGGCAAGAAACTGAGGTCTCCTGACAACAGACAGTGAGGAACTATTATTGCCTCTTACCAATAGCTATATAAGTGAGCCATCTTGGAAGCCAATACTCCAGACTCCAGACAAGCCTTCATGACTGTGGCACAATCTAACATCTTGACTGCAACAGCATTATAGATTGAGCCAGACAAAATCACCTAGCTAAACTGCTTCCTGACCCATAGAAACTGTGAGAAAACGTATGTTTATTATATTAAGTTGCATAATTTATTATGTAACAAGACATAATACAATAGATGAAGATGGCAATCCCTGGAGTAAGGCAGGGGATGGGATGTGTAAGAGGGTAAAAATCAGTTAAATTAGGATATTTTCTCTATACTCAACTACCAAAGCTTTCTTTGACAGAACATTCTCCATAAGTCACAAAGAAAACTAGTAATTAATATGACATTCTTAATGATAACATTTATATAGCAGTCTAGAGCAAATTTGTACCAATTATTTGCCATTAGACAGTGAAAGACAATTGTTAAATGAAAATATTCTTTTCCTTTGGAAAATTTTCTTTAAACAAATTCATTTAAAATGTCATTTCTGAAGATAACTTACCTGTAACCAATGCTGTTCCTTCATAATTCCATCTTCCTGCAAGTACTGCTCCACTATGAGCTTCTACACTTTTTTCCACTCTTCCTAATTTGGAAATCAGATGAAACTTACCTAAAAGAAATTACACCTGAGAAACTTCTTTTATTAAATTATTTTATTCAGTCAACGAACATTTATTGATTACCTACATTGGTTAGCATGGTTTTAGGCACTGAGGATATCAGGATAAATAATACATAATTATTCTTACTCTCAAGGAACACTCAAATCTACTGGAAAACAGGCACAAAACAAAATAATAAAACTCTGAGACAAGGTTTATGACAGACATTTATATATGGTGCTATGATAGTTCAGAGGGATAATAAAAATCTGCTGGGATATGGTCACGGAAGCCAGGTGAAATATCAATAAAGACTTCTACTTAAGTAAAGTTTTATAGTCTTACATTCTTTTTAAAGGTTATAGAAAAGCTGGAAAAGGTGGAGAGGAGAAGAATCAAAACAGTTAAATGGATTAATCTCAGGTTTTAAAAATATCTGTCTTACATGATTTTATATTATGCCCAGTAACAGGCAGGCAAAGAAATTTCAGCTATTTTGTTGTTGTCCCCAAGATGCTTACACACATATATAAACAAAAAGGGGGGGGCACACTTTAAAAGACATAAGTAAACTATACAAGAGACGTCAAGGGGACAAATCAATTCTGCGAAGAGTAAGAACTACAGGAAGTCAAGAAAGAATCTGTGTGCTTTGGAATGATGAAGAAGGTTAGTAATAAAAAATGAATGATAAAAATAATAAAGTACAATAAAAGTAGAAACTTTCCCCAAAATTAAAATTAAAAAGTTATTTTTGCTGTAAAAGAATAATGTGGCATTGAAAATTAGCTGCCTAATCAGATTTTGGCTTAGAGGATTTATTTTCTTTAAATTCACTTTTATTAATGCTTTTAAAGATTCTGACCTGACATTAACAATTCCTTAAAAACATAATTTAAGGATTCAAAATGGACTCATCAGTAATCACCACGCTATTTCCCTCCAGCATCGTAGTGCTTGAAAAACTAGGTACAGCAGTTTGAATTGGGGATTATGGTGCTCTGAACAGCTCAAAGAATCAGAGTGCACTAAACACAAAGAAGTAGAATTAGAGTAAAGGCACAGGGAAAGAAATTAAGGAAGATCTACCCAGCAGAGGGTGGATGGGCAGCCAAGAGAGGCCATTGGAGACTTTCCTGTGGGAGTGACTGGCAGATGAGGACGGCCACCTGAGACCTCCCTGGGATAAGGCAGAAGACACCCATATCAGCATACCAGTGACCACACTAACATACCAGCAAACACCCCAAGGATCTACCTTTAGCATCTGATTTTATCAGTAACTTGGGTCAGTTAGGTGCAAATGGGTGCACGCAACACCACTGAAACCCAAACAGAGAGCTCACTGGTGGTCCAGGAGGGTGAGCTCGCTCCCCCCTCAGCGGGTCACCAAGTGGGCTTGGGTCAGCTTGGGTGGCATTGAGAGGTCTGTGCTTATCTTTGTCACTGATATTGGGACCACAGATTACTAGCAGGCACTCTCCTGACTCCAGCACAGCTGAAACCATGCGCATCTTTGGCGCCACAGGTGGGTAGTATCACAAACTCCCGAGCCATTCGTGGTCTGGGCAGATTGGGCCAGCGGTGCGGGCAGACAGGGTGGAGAGAGAGGAATACGAGGCTAAGTGCGGACCCAGGAATTAGCCTTGGATTAGCTTTTTGGCACCGAAAGACCTCCGAAGCGGGGTCTTTGCGTGTGTCTGAGCATGGCGGAAAGTGGCAACACCGTAACAACAGGAATCTTATCTGAAATTGAGTCACAGGCTTGTAATTAACAGTACGATGTCATCAGTAGCAGCCTGCTCAAAGCCCTAGAAACCAACCCTAACAACAGCAAGCTTTCCTTCTTCCACTCCCACCCTTCTCTGCCAATAACTTCACTCATTCAATAGAAAAAAACATATTCAGCCAACATAAAACCTCCCGGTTCGAACTCTAAACCCTCTTTACAACAAACAGAAACACATATCCACATTCCACACAGTGATTCCACCATCACAAAGACAACTGCAGAGCGACCCGGCATACCTGAATCAATAATAAAATAAAATACACCAGCTTCACCTTTTCAAAATATTAAACCATAAAACCAAGACAAAACAAATCAACACGTAACCAGTGGTTAAAGACAACCTCAAAATGTCTTGGAAACAACAGGCAACCTCAAATCAAACAAAAAAACAGGACAAGGCATTAGAAGCAAAACCACAAAGGTCTCATTATACATGGAGGAAGAGGAGGCAATAGAATTGTCCAAGAAGGAATTTAAAAGATATGTTTATAGAGCTATACAAGAGCCTAAGGAAACCCCAAATAGAAACAAGGAGAACACAGATAGTTCCCTGGAAAACTCAGGAAAATCATTGAGGAACAGAATATTAAGATTAATCACAATCAGAACTCATACAAAAACAGCAGTTAGAAATGCAGAAGATGTCTATTGATATGCAGAGCATGAGCACCAAAATGACAGAACTACACAACACAGTACAAGGTCAAAAGAGATTAGAACTGGCTGAAGAACGCATATACCAATTAGAAGACAAATCCCTGGACACTAGCCTGTATAAAGAAAAATCAAAACAAAGATTTAAGAAAAATGAAGGGAACCTAAGAATTAAATGCGATGACATGAGATGAAACAATATAAGACTCATTGGAATTCCAGAACAAGAAGATGCGAAAAAGACCACCAAGAAAATTGTGGAAGACCTGCTAACAGAAAACTTCCCCCATATCATGAAGGAGAAAAGATACTTGTCCAAGAAGCTCATAGAACCCCACATAAGATAGATCCCAAAAGAAAAACACCGAGGCATATGATAATCAAACTTTCCAAAACCAAAAACAAAGAAAAAATTTTGAGAGCTGCCTGGGAAAAAAGAAATATTACTTATAATAATCAAACAGTTAGGCTGAGCTTCGATTACTTAGCAGAAACCATGCAAGCAAGAAGGCAATGTGACGGCATATATAAAACTCTGAAGGAAAAGAACTTCCAACCAAGAATCCTACATCCAGCCAAATTATCCATCAAATATGAGGGCAAAATCAAGGCATTCTCAGATAAACAGAAATTAAGAGACTTTGTGAAAACCAGACCAACCCTACAAGAAATGCTTAAGGAAGTCCTACCAATTGAGAACCCACAACAGAGATCAACAAAACCAGGATATGTGACATCAACTCTAAAACCAAACCAGAAATAGATACTCATAATAAGACCATAAAACATTCTATCTTAAAAACCAAGGAACTAAATCAGCATACAATAACAGCAACTAACCTATCAGAGGGAATAATACTTCCAGGTACAGACCCTCAAAGGGAGAGGAAAAGGCGACAATGTCTTTGCAGCCCGCACTGTTCTAAAAATGTATATATCCAAGGTAACCACAGAGAAAAGTAACAATTCCTCTAAGCAAATCCAGAAGGAAGGAAAGCATATGGGCTTAATAAACACAAAACCAAATACAAAGTAGAAAAGGGAGAAAGCATTAGCCAACAAATTGAACTCAGCACAGAAATGTACACAGACCAAAGAAACACCAACTACACGACAAAAAAACATAACAGGATGACACCAATCAACGCATACCTATCACTAATTACACTCAATGTGAATGGACTAAATGCACCTATCAAGAGAAAAAGAGTGGCAGATGTATAAGAAAAGAAGACCCATCAATATGCTGCCTACAAGAGACACACCTTAGACACAAAGATAAAAACAAATTAAGAGTTAAAGGATGGAAAAGAATATACAAAGCCAGTGGAAACCAAAAAAAGTCCAGGGTAGCAATTATGATTTCTGATAAAACAGACATTAAAGTGAAAAGCATATTAAGACACAAGGAGGGGCATTATATGATGCTTAAAGGGTCAACTGACAAAGAAGATATTCAATAATAAATATTTATGCACCCAATGAAAGTGATCCAAATATGTGAAGCAAATATTAACTTAATTAAAAAGGCTAACAGACAACTCCACAATAGTAGTAGGAGACTTTAACACAACACTTTCAAGAAGGGACAGCTCAACGGGAAAAAAACTCAACAAGGATACAGAAGAACTTAACAGTATAATGAACAAACCGGAACTCATAGACATATGTAGAGCACTTCACCCAACAAAAACACAATTCACATTCTTTTCCAGTGCACATGGATCCTTCTCCAGAATAGACCATATGCTAGGACATAAAACAACCATCAATAAATTCAAAAGCATTGAAATACTGCAAAGCATCTTCTCGGACCACAATGCTATAAAACTAGAAATTAATAATAGGAAGAGCAAGGAAAAAGCATCAAATATATGGAAGCTGAACAACTCACTGCTTAAAAAATATTGGGTTACAGAACAGATAAAATCTGAAATAAAAAAATTCCTAGAAACTAATGAGAATGAAGATACATCATACCCTATGGGACACATCGAAAGCAGTACTCAGAGGACTGTTTATAGCAATAAATGCATACATCAAAAAAGAGGAAAAAAACAAAATCAACACTCTAACTCATCAAACTCCAACAACTAGAAATAGAACAACAAAAGAATCCTACCGTATCTAGAAGCAAGGAAATAATAAAGATCACAGCAGAAATAAATGAAACAGAAAACAAAAAGAACATAGAGAAAATAAACAAAACAAAGAGCTAATTCTTCGTAAAGATTAATAAAATTGATAAACCATTGGCAGACCTAACAAAAGAAAAGAAGAAGACCCAAATCACAAGAATTGTAAACGAAAACGGTGTCATCACAACAGAACTAACAATAAAAATACTGACAGAATATTATGAAAAACACCAATAGATTTGAGAACCTAGAAGAGATGGACAAGATTCTAGAATCACAAGACCCACCTAAATTATCCCACTCAGAAATAGAAAACTTGAACAGACCCATAACAAGGGAAGAAACTGAACAGGTCATAAAAACTTCCCACAAACAAAAGCCCTGGCCCTGATGGCTTCACTGGAGAATTCTATCAAATATTCAG